TTTTTTTAAAAAAAAAAACAGGACAGAGGGAGGGAAAGAAGCATATTCCAGCATGCAAAAAGCTTGGCCAAGAAAATCCTTGTTTTTCAGTCCATATTGTCCGAAAAGCGGCGATGTATATCCATCGTAGAGGTTTGTGGAGACCACCAGGTGATCTAATAGCTCTATTCTTCAAAGCTGTTTCTAGTAGGTAAGCAGGAAGGAGATGGACTCTTCGGGTGAGCCAGCTGTAAAAACAAACGAATAATACAGCATTAAGCAAAATGGTTCGGTTGAGATCGGCATATGTGGGACCAATTGGGGTAGGTTCTACAGGGGATTCCGAAATAATTTTATCATCTATTATTTTATCTATATATTAAATTACTGTATTTTATTCCAATTTCATTTTTAATTGCAATTTATTCCAATTTGATTTGATTTGATTATATTTATATGCTGCCCTTTTCCCCCGAAGGCGACTCAGGGCGGCTCACAACTCAAATCAGGGAAGGGGGGTACAGACAAAAAATTAAAAAACGAAACATAATTTCATTTTAAACTGTATTTTATTCCAATTTCATTTTTAATTGCAATTTATTCCAATTTGATTTGATTTGATTATATTTATATGCTGCCCTTTTCCCCCGAAGGGGACTCAGGGCGGCTCACAACTCAAATCAGGGAAGGGGGGTACAGACAAAAAATTAAAAAACGAAACATAATTTCATTTTAAACTGTATTTTATTCCAATTTTGTTTTTAATTGCATTTTATCCAATCCCATTTTAAATGGTTTTGATCAGATTTTGGTCATAATTTGTGTCTGGAACTCTGCACTTTGATATGGCCCAAAAGCTAATCAATAAAGTAAAACTAAACTAAACAACTTTTCAAAATAAATAAAAAAAGTAAAACTAAACTAAACAAGAGCAAAAATGGAAGCAAAGTTAGCATGTTTTTATTGACTAACGAATATTGGTTTAACGAGTTTGGAATTACAACGGTGCTGAAAAATATAACTTGTGATTAAATCCTCGAAGTTATGACCATTGCACTAGCCCTGAAGTCATAGGATTGCAATTTAGAAAGATGTTAACAAGCTTGCATTGATGACGCTTGAACTGTCCTGGGGGGGTGGGTCATGTGATCACCACTTGTGACCTTCCCAGCCGGCAGGCAAAGTCAGTGGGGAAGCCAGATTCACTTAACGACTGTAGTAAAATGGTCTTAAAATCTACTCCGCTCACATAATGACTCGCTTAACAATCGCACTGGCTAGTCATTGAAATTCCGGGCCCCAATTGTGGTGATAAGTCAAGGATTACCTCTACCTACAGAGTCATATGATTAAACATATTTATTCTAGATCAATATTTCTATAGGCTTGAGAGGAGTCGGGTTAAAATAGCATTTCTTTTTCTGAACATCTAAAATTAAAAGACAAAGCAATAGAGATGGTCCTCGATTTATGACAGTTTGTTCAATGACCATTTGAATGCACAACGGCACTGAAAATAAGTGACTTCTGACCTTTTTTTTTACACTTACGACCGTTGGCAACGGATTCATATTTATGACCGTTGCAGCTTCCCGGGGTCACGTGACCCTGTTTCGCGACTTTCTGGCAAGCAATGTCAACGGGGAAGCCAGATTCACTTAACAACCAGGTTACTAACTTAATAACAGCAGTGACTCCCTTAACAATTGCGGCCAGAAAGATTCGTAAAATGGGGCAAACCTGAACAAATTTTCACATAACCCCTCACATTTCGGGCTCAATTGTCGTCGTAAGCCAAGGACTGCCTGTTTAAGTTGGGGGGGGGGGGTTCGGGTCACTAAGCAGTGTCTTGGGATCATATGATTTGCCACCTTTTGTCAAGCGAAGACAATGGGTGGGGGCTGCATGTCAACCCTGAAGCTGACCTGGCCGAAGCTGATACTGGAGCTGAGGGATTGGGGGGGGGGGGGGATAGAGATAGCTGGAGTTTTGTAGCCAAAACAAAATACTTTCTCCTGGAAACCAAGGACATTCCCAAAGGTGGTCGGAAAGAGGAGCCGAGGTGGCGCAGTGGTTAGGGTGCAG